ACATTTGGTGATGGAAAAGGCAAAGTTGCACGTAAGATATCATGGTAATATACATTTTTCCATGTATATGAGCAAGTTCAACTTGACAAATGAAAGAAGTGACAAAATTATCCATACTTGTAAATAACATGATTATCCATCTGGAAAACCCAAGAGGCTCAACTGAGACCCTATTAGAAAAAATTAGAGCATTTAGTGAAATATGTGATTATAAAGTTAATAAAATAAATGAATGGGGACAAGCAGATGGTATAATGGTTATGTCTCTGGATTCCCATATAGTTAACTGCGGTTCAAGTACCAGACCTGGAAGCTTAAAACTCTTGCTGGTTGTGTGTGGGTGTGTGCCCAAAATCCCAAGAGGAGAATGGAAGAGAAGAGATTATGGCATGACCACCCTGTCTGGGGGGAGAGACTTCTCGCTTTCTGTCATTCTGTCTCTGTATCTCTGGTGAGCACATGCAAAATAAAGCAAAAATCTCTCTAGAAAAAAAATAACAAAATAAAATAAATCAATTGCTTCTCTGTATATGAAAGCTCACAAGATATAAGATAAAAATAAAGAAAAATCTCATACCTCAATAGCCATACAATTTAAAACATTAGGCATATATTTCACAAGAAATGTGTAGCACTTCTATAAACTGGAATCTTTAAAACTCTCATTGAGATATTTTAAACAAGGTTTAAATAAGTGGAACTATCTACCAAGTTATTAGACACTAACATTCAATATTCAAAATGTATTCTGTTAAAAGTAAATAATACATTATAGGCAATCTTAATCAAAACATTAACTTGATCTTAGGTAGAATTTGATAAAATGGGGCACCAGCAGTTAGCGTAACGGCTGTGTCGTTGGACTCCCATGTAGTTGACTGCAGTTTGAGTCCCGGGCCCGATGGCTTATGCTCTGGGCGCGTGTGCTTGCATGCCCAAGATCCCGAGAGGAGAATGGAGATTGTGGCGTGACCATCCCCCCTGGGGGATGACTTCTTGCTTTCTGTCTCTCTGTCTCGCTCTTTCTTGCGAATGCAAGCACTCTATAGCAAAAACCTCTCCTACCCCCCAAAAAAATAAATAAATAAAAAGAATTTGATAAAATGACCCTGAACTCCATGTGGAGTTCTCTGAATAAAAAAGAGTAAAGACAAGGAGCTAGTTTTACTAGATATATAGCATTGTATAAAACAACACTAATTAAAACAGTTTGATTATGGAACAAGAAGTGACTGACAACAGGAACAGAACAGAATCCAGGCAGATGAAAACACATCTGGAGTTTAGTATGTGATAAAGTAGCATCTCCAATAGTGAGTAAAATATTCAATAAATCATATTAGGGGACTTGGCTAGCTGTTTTTATATAAAACTGTAAATCTTATTTCCCACCTACATCCTTACCCTGAAGTGCATAGCAGATAGATCAAATACTTTAATTGTAAAAAGCATGAAGAGATCAGATGAAAAGATAGAAAAATGATTTGTATTCTTGGAGAGACCTTTCTAATGCGACAAAAAAAAAAAAAAAAATCCACAACTGAAAAAAGAAAAAAAGATGATCACAGATGTCTTAAAAATTTCTGCATGGCAAAGTTATTATAATGTTCTAAAGACAAATGACAAATTTGGAAAGATAGATTTTCAACATCCAGAACAGACTAAACACTGATTTCCTTAATATTGAAAAGCTCTTACTAATGAATAAATAACAATGAAAAAAGTCAAGCCAATAAAAATAGCCAAAAAGATGGTGGAGAGTGGAACAATCATATAAAAAGAACCTAACAAACATGTAAAAAGTGTGTGCAGTCAGGTGCAGCTGGTGGAGAAGCGGTTAAGGTGCTGGACTCCCAGATTTTTGACAATGGCTTGAGTCCTGGATCTGGAGGCCTGAAACCATGCCGGGTGCCTATGTGCATGCCCAAAATCTGAGGAGGAGAATGGAGAAGAGGGGATTATAACATGGTCATTCCCCAGGGCTGATTTCTCACTGTTTTTCTCACTGTTTCTCTCCAGCGAGCTCCAACACTCCATAGCAAAAACCTTAAAAACTAAAGCAAAAACATGTGCACTCACAGGTAACCATCATATTGGACAAGATAAAACATTACTAAAGGGGGCACAGTTGAAAGGGATAAGTAGAATTAAGCACTAATACATGTTTAGTAGAGTTATAAATTAGGTGAAAGTATTTTGAATGATGAATTGACATTACTAAATTTTATTTTTCTCTCTTTTTTTAAAAGGTTTTTGCTATAGGGCGCATGCGCTCTCCAGACAGACAGAGAGAGACAGAGAGACAGAAAGCGAGAAATCACTCCCCGGGGGGATGGCCATGCCACAATCCCTTCTCCTCCATTCTCCTCTCGGGATCTTGGGCACGCATGCACATGTGCCCAGCGTGAGTTTTAAGCCACCGGGTCTAGGACATGAACCACAGTCGACTAAGTGGGAGTCCAGCAACATAGCCATTATGCTAACTGCTGGTCCCTCTAAATTTTATTTTTAATTTTGCCAGAGGGTACATGCATCAGAGAGAGACAGATGGGGAATGATCACACTGCAATCCCTTCTCTTCTATACCTCCTCCTCTTGGGATTTTGGAAGTACACATGCATACATGCCAGTGGGTTTTCTCAGGTCATTGAGTCAGAGACTCAAATACAAAACCACCTGTGTGGAACACAGACACTTGGATCACCATGCCACAGGCTAGCTTGATATTATTTTTAAAATTTATTATTATTATTTATATATTTAATCTTTATAACCTTTTTTTTAATTTGATGAGAGAAGGAGAGAGAGAATGTGAGAAGGCAAGCCACCTGGTCTGATGGTCGAACTATGGTCAGACATGTGGGAGTCCAGCACCTTAATCACCATGCCACTTCCTTGCCCTCATTATTAAAATTTTAAGTGCATATAACTTCTAACTTAATTTTTCCTTTAGGTATTTATGAAAAGGATAAACTTGTGCAGGTAGCTAATGGCATATGTGGAAATATGTCTGTTGCATAACCAATGTTAGAAAGGAAAGAATGAAAAAAGATTAAACATTATGTTGATTATGTATATCACAGTACATCCACGCAATACAATACTAAACAGTTGTGTGAAAGGATGAGTGAAATAGTGTACATTAAAGATGTCCAATGGGTCCAGCAGTTAGCATAATGGCTATGTCGCTGGACTCCCATGTAGCCAATTGGTTTGAGTCCCGTACCTGGTGGCTTAAACTCACGCTGGGTGCATGTGCAGGCGTGCCCAAGATCCTGAGAGGAGAATGGAGAAGAAGGGATTGTGGCATGGCCATCCCCCCTGGGGGGTGATTTCTCGCTTTCTGTCTCTTGGTCTTTCTGGTGAGCGCACATGCCCTATAGCAAAAACCTCTCCCCCCAAAAAAATGATGTCCAACAAGGGGGTCAGCAGGTGGTGTGGTGGTTAAGGGCACTGGACTCCCACATGGCAGACTGTGGATCGAGTTCTGGACCTGGTGGCTTCCTTTCTTACTTTCCCTCTCTCTCTCTCCCTCTCTTGCACTCTCTCTGTCCCTCCAAATAAATAAATAAATTTAAATAAAATAATTCTATTTGAAAAAAGATGTCCAACATATATCATGAAGTACAGAAAAAGTTGAGAAAGAGTATTATAGTAGGGCGCTATTTTATGTAAAGAGAAAGATTCCCCAAAACAAAACAACCCTCCAACCTCTGTCTGCATAGGTCATCTCTAGACAAATACGCACAAAATGTAACAGTTATTCCTGGTACTAAGAGAAGCAACTTGGATTGGGAGGAAGGGAGGTTTTATATTGTTATGCATACTTGTATGTAATTTGATTATTTTTCCATCAGCATTTATTTGTTTTGTTTTGTAACAAAAATAGCTTTTATTTATTTTATATTGATGACCTATTTCAAATAATTTCTGGAGCTTATTGTCTGTTCTAAGGTCTGTTAAAAGTATATTTCATGACTAAGAAACTCAAGTCATTTAACAAATACTTGGTGAAATTCTAGTTTGGGCAAGTTGGTATACACTGGGGAAACATAAAACTGTGCATGGAAAAAAATTAACTTTAATTACACATTTCCCAGATATATAGCTAATTTGGGTTTCCCTTTGGCAATCTTACTGTACATTAGGAGGCTAGCCATTCCTAACCAGAATATCATAATATGTTTCCTTAAAAATATACAATAGAATACTATTTGGCCATAAAAAAAAATAAAATCTTGTCACTTGAGGTAAAATGGGTGAGTCTGGAAGACATTATGTTAAGTGAAATAAACCAAGCACAGAAAAAGAAATAATGTGGGTTCTAACTAATATCTAAAAATTAAAGAAAAAAACTTCATAGAAATGGAGAGCTAAAGGATGATGTCTATAGGATAAAAAGGCTAGGAGGGAAAATAGAGGAAGGTTGATTAGTGGAAATGAAATTACAGGTAGATTAAAGAAATGAATTCCAGGATTACAAATTACAATAGGGTGAATATAGTTAATAATCACTTACTCTATATGTCAGAGTAACTAAGAAAGTTAAGCCTGTGGGGCCAGCAGGTGGCAACATAGGGGTAAAGGCGCTGGACTCCCACATGGCAGAAGGTGGTTCATGTCCCAGACCTGGCAGCTTGAAAAATCAGGTGCGTGTGTGTGCGTGCCTCAAATCCCAGGAGGAGAATGGAGAAGGGACTGAGTGGTGACCATACCCCCTGGAGGGGGGTGAGTTCTTAATTTCCCTCTCACTGTCTCTCACTTTCCCTCTCACTGTCCTCTTTCTCCTCTCTGCGGGACATACACTCTATGGCAAAAACCTTGGAAGAAAGAAAGAAAGAAAGAAAGAAAGAAAGAAAGAAAGAAAGAAAGAAAGAAAGAAAGAAAGAAAGGGAGAAGGAGAAAGAAAGAAAGAGCGAGCAAGCAAAAACGAAAGAAGAAAGAGAAAGAAAAAAGAAAGAGAGAGAGAAAGCCAGTGCGAGCCGGGCACACGGGGCAGGATGGCGGGAGGTGGTCGTCGGGCACATTGTGTGCGACCTTTCAACTCACACTTCATCAAGTGCGTCCAGCTCTCCTGCCAAATGGGTTGGACCTGATTTCTGCTCTGGCTCATGACCCTTGGTGGGACCAGACTGGCTCCTGGGCTGTCCCCCCACCTCCTGGGGCAGCCAGGACTAGGCTGGCCCTTGGGGAGAGCATGGTGCTGAGGACTGAGTTCTTAGGTCCTGGCAAGTCTGGAAGCAGGAGGCCCCTGGTGGGTGAGAGGGACGGGCATATCGGGGTCTGGAGGAAGGGGCTGCTGTGATCAAAGCCTTAGGGCTGCTAGAGCGAAAGGGTAGAAGCCCAGGCTTTGGGACTGGGTGCTCAGGCCGGGAGTGCTGGGTGGGGGCCTTGCAGGGACCCACATTCCAGGGCCCCCTGCCCAGGCCGTCTGGTGAGTGCCCATGCTCGGGCTTGTGTGTTGCAGGCTGTTTCTCCCTGAGCGGCCCCAGCACTGCGAGGGGCACCGTGGGCGGGTCCCTGAGCCTGCAGTTTCGGTACCAGCGGGAATTCCAGGCAGATAGCAAGTACTGGTGCAGAAAGTCACTTACGCCGCTTCGCCTGCTCTGTGACAAGATCGTGGAGACCCGCGGGTCACAGCTGGAAGTGCGGAGAGGCCGAGTGTCCATCAGGGACCATCCTGCCAGCCTCACCTTCACAGTGACCTTGGAGAACCTCACAGAGGAGGACGCAGGCACCTACTGGTCTGCGATTGACCGACCCTGGGACCAGGACACCCACGTGCAGGTTGTGGTGTCCGTGTACCCAGGTGAGCCCCAGTGCACCAGTGGGGTCTATGGCGAGTGTCCCGAGGAGAGAAGAGGGACAGAGAGGGGGTGGCTTGGGGACGGTGACCTGGGACCTGGGCATGTGTGTGAGTGTGTATGCTCATGGACTTTCAAATATATGTACGTGTGCGTGTGCGTGTGGGCATGTGTGTGTGACAGAGCACCTGTGTCTTCTCTGGAACCTTCCATCTATCTCAGAACCCTCTCTCTACCCAGGCTCCTCCCTGTGCCCACACTGACTGTCTCAGGCCTGACCCTCGAGGCGGTGGTCACCGAGGGACTGGCCCAAGTGGGGCCTTTGTGTCCTGCCCGTCCTGACAAGAGCCCAGTCCTCTCCGAAAGGGACCTGTGTCTCACCTGGACCTGTCCCCGTCCTCACTCTGGGTCCAGGACCCCTGTGGCATCTGCTCCCCATCACAGCTGCCCTGACCCTGGCCCCGAGGACCCCGCCCCGTCCCGCTGGCT